TCCTTTTTTTGACTTGCTGAGCCTCGATCGTAAATCATTGCCTCTATTTAAGCTATTTAACATTGTCTGTAAATATATTATAATGATTAAATAAATTCTATCGTTATAAAAAGTTCATTCAGTTAAAAATTAAATTTACTTGTTCTCGAAGTTTTGCACGACGTTTGTGTATTTTTTTTTCTTCATCATCTGCGTGCATACGCATTCGTAATACTTTGCTTCTTTTACACCATTCATTTTCACTATCACTACTTGAAGTACTTTGTTGTTCTTCAGTGTGTGTAATTTCTTTTTGGGAATATTTTATCCCTAATCTATCTTTCACACTACGTCCTTGATCTCTAGATTCGTTTCTAGTACCAAATTCATTTTCTATAGCATCATTAAGTCCCCAACTTTCCGATAATGCACCCCATGGATTTTTCACACGTTTTTTATCTTTAACATCTTCTTGTGGCTCTTCTTTGAATCTTCTTTTACTTTGTCTAATTTGTTTGTACATTCGTTTTCGAGACTCAGTTAAAATTCCTTTAATACCTACAATGAAGATTTTATTTATTTACATAGAATTAAATTTAATTATTTATATAGAATTTACTTAGAAGTTTATTTATTTGTAGAATATTTTAATAGAATATTTTTATAATAATAGTACCTCCAAAATTAGGATTTCCATACTTTTTATAATATTCACTCATTTTTTCTGCATTTGGTTGCTTTTTATCTGCTCTAGTAGCAAATCTAAGAAATATTGCTTTAGATTTAGGATAATCTATACCCTTCCTCCATAAACCAGGTGGTAATGGACAATTAATATCTTTGATACTTATATAGCCTTCCTCTATGCTCTTTGTGTTTACAGTTTCATTATCTTCGACCATTTCAACAGTATAATCATCATTAGCTACATTGTTCTCTTCATCAGGATTATCAAGTGTTTTTGTACTTTTTTGTTTCTCTAAACCCATAATTCTTTTTGATAATCCTAACATAGCTCTAGCAGCTGATAAATTGTCTAACCATACCACATTGCCTACAATGTGTTATGTATTAATAAATTTGGTCTATATTATTTTTTAATATATTCCGAATGATAAATGAAAATTCATATAATCTTTTGATACTTATATTATTAAAATTTATGAGGTAAAATTATTCTTACATGAAACATCATTAATCCATTCAATTGAGGCTGGAGCATAATCTTCAAAATATTTAAAGACATCTTTGGTACTCATTTCTTCAGTTCCTCTCATATGTATTACATTCAGTCTAATATTTTTTGTATTTTCACTATCTTCTACAATGCCCATACTAAATATAAAAGAATCTATGTTACATATCGTGATTATCAAACTATTATTACATTATCTATGAAATTAATATTTATAATGTAATATCTTCACCTAGAATATAAATCTTGTTCTTGATTTGATAGATTATTTTTTATTTTATCTGTTAATCCAAAACGTTTAGCTCTCTCTTCCATTTTGAGTTTTTCTTCTTTACTAAATATATCTATGCCTGTCATAAAAGTACCACCACGATTTTCATAACGGTTATCTAACTGTACCTATTTAAATAAAATGTATTGTATTAATTTTTAATTTCAAAATTTAATATAAATGTAACATTTTTATAATTTAAAATAATAAAATAATTTTTAATTAAGACTTAAATGAATCAAATAGCAAAGTTATGTTACAAAATATAAAATCAAAATAATGACAAGAAAATTAATAAAATGTAATATCATATACAAATGTATAATTATACAAATTGATTATTTATTTACCTCTGATACGTGCACATTGTTCGTATTAAATGTCTTTACATTCGTTTGATCAGAATCAACAATCTTGCTGTCATCAATAATTGGAAGCATTTCCACGTCCATAGGCTCACTTAGTTCATCCATTTTATATATTTATCTATATCTTTTTATAAAAATTTTTATTTTCTTTTACAAAAAATTTCAAAGGACACATGAAATATGAATTTTAAATTATCTATTTATGATGCACAACACAAAGAAGAAATAATACGATAGGTTATGATACACAGCTTCGACTATATAAATATTGAGGTTATATATTCTATAATTTTCAATAACATGAGCGCCACCTTTTTGGCGGGAAAATCAAACATTTTATACGTTTTATATTTTTTATAAATGTTTTAGTTATTTATTAGATAATATTATAAAAATTATTAGAAATAATTTAATCTTAAATAAAAATAGTAAATATATTCATTACAAGTTTAACAAACAACAAAGAAGAAATTAATTTATTAATATTATTTTCTATCAAAAAATATATAAATTTTATTGTTCTTTATCAAAACCATATCTAAATCTGTACAAACAATGTGTGTTCTTATTTATAGATTATATCGTTGATCTATCTTAAAAAATTGAAGATCTGATAGAATATTCATGTCATATTACTATTTATAAAATATTAATTTAGATTTAAGTTTCTATTTAGTATGTAATAACTTCTAAAAATCGCACATCAAAATAAATATTTGAATAAATTTCAAATGCTTATTTCAAATTGATTTATTTAAATAAAAATACTTCATATTTTTACTAAACTAAAAGATCTAAGTTTAAAAAAAAACCACCGAATAATTAATGAATTTAAATTTAATATTTAATTAATTAATTGATCTGTTTAATAATATTGATAGTTACATATCATCCGTTCGTTTAAATCCTAAGTCAAATTATAGATAATATTATTTTTATCAATACAAAGTTATATGAATGAGATTTCTTGGCATGCACATAATTGACACGTGTATTTCAAAACAATTTAATTTTATAATTTATTATATATGTTACTGTATAATTATAATCTACTATAATAAATTATAAATTAAAACCTAACATCATTTTCGAATACAACATTATTTAGATTGAATTATTTTAAAAAAAAGGTATTCTATAACTTGCTTAAAAAATTATCCTAGAATAATATTTTGTATTGTTTTTCTATCAATAGATATATTTTTTATAATTTTTAATTGTCAATTAGTCGCGCCTCTACTTGTTAATTTCCATTCATATTCTTTGATCGCCATCGTCGTCAAAATAAAAATAATCCAGCTAATACTTGGTTTCTAAGCAGTCATTTAGCGATAAATTAAGGAGCGATCATATCTATTGACACAGTTTGTCGCTAACGTTTAACGTGGACGCGCGATATCAAGTGAAAAAGCGTTTCCATTATTCTTTTTGCGATTCGTTTGAAGTTTTTCATATCTTTGGATTTTTGATTACAATTGAGATTAATGTAAAAAAAATTAATTTTATCCATAAACTTCAGTATAACTTCAAAATGTCTGAAAATGGAATGCAGATGACCGAGGTGGTAAGTGATTGAGAAAGTAATGTGTACAATATTAAATATTTAATAATTTTTTGTTTTTCTTTTTTAATAAATTTTTAATTGGAATTTCTATAATAGAAAGATTTTGATCACATCGAGCAATTGAATATAATTTAACGATTGCGCTTGAATTAGAGGAATATAATAATTTATTCTTCAATAACATTATATGCTTTTGTTTAACATAAATTTTCACTTATTGTTTAATATTTAGATCTAGAATTAAATCCCATTTATCTAAAAAGATAAAAATATAAAAATTTAATATATTCATAATATATAGATGACATAACAATATTTAAATTGATATAAATTTAAATTATAAAATTATTTTATATTTATTGTCTAGTCATAAAAATATTCTATTAATATTCTCATGTGTGTGTATGCATATATGATAAAAATATTTTTAATTTACATTTTGGAAAATATATTATGATTTTTATACTCCAAATAATATTTATATTATTATGTGAAAAAAAATCAATACTTTTCAGATTAGTAATTTAATTCAATATATTCAAGTTATGCAATGTAAAAGTTTTAAATATTAATTATTCTTAAATAAAAAAAATTTTTTTCTTATTGATATTTTATTTTAAATAATATATTTAATTAAATATAATAAATATGATTAAAAAACATAAGAAACATTGAATATCATCTGTCAAAATGTAAATTTGATTGTGATCCTCAATAATCGTGTAACTAAAAAAAAATAACATTCTAATCGATTCATTAAAAATACATACTAACTACGTCATGAATCTAATAAATTGTGATTAGATTCAAGATCGAATGATTATTTCTGTTTTACCAGTAAAAAAAATAGATCCTATAAAAATCCATTTTTATTAATCAGATTTTACGCAACATTTTAAATTCATAGTAAAATAGTATAATTACAAAAATAATATCGCAATATATGCATATTTTGAAAAAAAAACAAAGTAAACTATTAATTCTACAAAATAAAATTGTACTAAAAGCTATTAGTTCTAATTAATTAATAATAATTAATTCTAAATTAATTTAATGTTTTATTATTTAGTGGAATTTAAAATATTAGAAGTTAATAAAATGGTAATTGTTAAAATTATTAAAAATAATTTAAAAAATTTTTTTTGAGATTAAATAAAAAATTTTTCTAAAAATCAATAAGTGATAGTTTCCTTTAATATAATTGTTTAATATATAGTATATAGTATAATTGTTGAATAATATCATTAGATATATATTATTATTTTAATGAGAACGATGAGATATATCTTTGCTCGGTTTATTTTACTATGTAATTATATAATCTAGTTTCTTATTATTAAAATAAATTTATGTATATTCTATTGTGTATAGCAGCTATATATTCTCATTTTAGAATTATTATTAAATAAAAAACATTCCTTTAAAAAAAAATTATACTGTCATTAAAAATCTTCCTATTTAAAGATAAAATATAAAAAATCTCTTATAAAAATTTGAGTTTAAATTTAATTTTTTCAGAATTAATATACGATTATAAATGAATTTAGATAATTTTTATATATGACATTTAATATATATATATATCTAATGATATCATATATATATATATGATTATTGTTTTAGAATATAGGAAATTCAACATTAACACCGCCGAATAAAACTAACAACAGAAATACGAATCTCACCTATGGCATTGATGATGTCCCACCCTGGTATCTTTGCTTATTTATGGCTTTACAGGTACTTTTCTTTACTTTTATCGTGATATTTCAGATCGTTTATATTTCAGATAAACATGTTTGAAATAACACAATAAGCATAAGAACGGTTAATTCTTCTATTTATTTTACTATTTACAAAATCTTGATTATTCGACTTCTATCTAATAATGTTGATCAATATACTTATAATCGTATATCTATAATTATACATCAAATGATAATAATATAATCAGTCAGATAATGATTTTACATGAAAAAAATAATTAAAAAATATGGAATAAAATTTTTTCATTCCAGGTTTTAATTTATTTTTTCTGTTAAAATCATTCTTACTAACATTTCTTTTAAAATTAATTATATTATGTTTTCCAGCATTATTTAACTATGATAGGTGCAATAGTCTCGATTCCTTTCATTTTAACACCAGCTCTATGTATGGCAGAGGATGATCCAGCGAGAAGTTACATCATCTCCACTATGATCTTCGTTACAGGACTTGTCACTTTTTTTCAAACTACCATAGGATGCAGGTCATTAAATTAATAAGTTTTTCTTTACCAATCTGAAAAATGTGTAATTCATATTTAATTTTATCATTATCGCATTTTTTTTAATTACTCCAATAAAATTGATTCTTTCATAAATTTATAACTCTCTCTATTCATAAAAGGAGTTAAAAGTGTTTTCACGCATTTTAAAAACTCATATTAAAAAAATTGTTGCGCATTATTCTAAAATATTAAGTTGATAAGACTAATAGGCACCATGAATTCAACTTCACGCAATTATATATATCTCGAGCAACATATAAAAGTTAATTCCAGCTTAGTCTCACGATCAAAATTACAAATATTTCCAGCAAGATTATAATTACAAAATTTTGAGAAATGTGTTTACTATGTATTAGATATTATTGTTATAAATTTTAAATTAAAATAACTTATAGCACTTGCAAATGTACATGAAACTATTACAGGCCAGAATCCATTTAATGAAATATTTATTAATCAATTTGATTAATCGATTTGATGATTCATAATCCTAAGAAAATTAATAAAAATAAAGATATTTTTAAAGCTTTTTTAATTTATTAAATTTTAGAAAATGAGAGACAGATTTTTTGCTAATTTTTCAAAAAAATTTGTACCATTTTTTTGTATAATTTTTTTCTTTTTTTAATTTAAGTCAAAATGATTTTTATTTTTTTAATTTATAACATTTTTAATTTATATATATTTAGTTTATAGTAGTTTTTAATTATATTTTTAACAATTATCTTATCAGAATGCTAATAGTTGCGATATTTCATACCAAACTATTATTATTATGTAATTGTAAAGTTTATAATTCGCCTATAAATGGAGTAAAGTGTTTGAATTTTAAGAATCAAGGTTGGATACGAAAACCTTCGTAATCGATATTTATATGTTTATGCTTGATAACTTGTCTATGCCTAGTTCTAATGCTAATTTTCGTTGTTTTATTACCGAGAATTATCTTGTTTAAAAAGATTTACGGATCGTTAACGATATTTAACAGTTTCTGAGAAATAATAATGTTCTGTTTTTACTTACAAATTTCATGACTTAAAATGAAGACGGAATTTTATTTACTTAATTTGAAAAAAATCATTTTTTTATTTATTGTAAATATATATATCATATATATATATATATATATATCATATATATCATATATAATTTGACTTTTAAGTCATAGAGATACATATTCATTAATTCTACATAATTCTTTTGATATTTTAGAATTTTATATTGTTCTAATACATTAATAATATAGTATACTTTATATTTCAATGTTTCAATATTTTTCGATATTATTTTACTATAATTATTTTATTATTCTAGTATTTTTACATTCTAAAAATCTAATATTTATATAACATTTAAGCAATCATTCTTTAAATTCGAATATTTCAATCTATTCTTATGCTGCAATACTTTAGTATTTACATATTATATTTATATATATTTTTCACTATTATATTTTTATTCTGTAACATTTCTTTAATATTTATATACTTTAATAATTAATAAATCATAATAATAATATTTATTTTTTTTATTCTTTATTATAGATTACCTCTTGTTCAAGGAGGAACCATTTCTTTTTTAGTCCCAACTCTTGCAATCTTAAGTTTACCACAATGGAAGTGTCCGCCACCAGAGATTTTAAATGAATTATCCTCTGCTAATCGTACAGAAATATGGCAAATCAGAATGAGAGAACTTTCAGGAGCAATTGCTGTATCCTCTTTGTTTCAAGTAATAGTTGGATTTGGAGGTATTGTATTTAAATTATTATTTGAACATTAAATCTTCCTTCTCTAATGTAATTTTTGAAATAGGTATTATTGGATATTTATTGAAATTTATTACACCATTGACTATTGTGCCAACTGTCTCCCTGGTTGGAATATCCCTTTTTGAGAATGCAGCTGATGCTGCATCTAAACATTGGGGTATCGCAGCTGGGTAAATGCATATTATTTTTTTTCTTATAAAAAAATGATATCCGATAATTCTTAATTAAATTATCCTTATTTGAATAATTCTGAACAAATAATTTAATTAATAAAATTTAGTTCTTGTCACAAAAAACTTTTACATATTTCCTCTCGTGTATTAATCTTTTACAGAACAATACTGATGTTAACATTGTATTCTCAAATACTTGTTAATGTGCCATTCCCGGTATTAATGTACCGTAAGGGTCAAGGAATTAGAGTCGTGTGGTTTGAATTATTTAAACTATTCCCGGTAATTATATAATAAATATGAACTTAATAAAAATGGCACAAGTTTTTATTCCTGATTACTTCTTTTTTTTATTATTTAATTTTCTTTTAAATTTTATTTGTATCTATATTTTTGATATCGATGATATTAGTTTTTTCTATTTTATATCATCTTTTATTTTCACTTTCTTCTATTTTAGGTACTGTTAACTATAATAGTCATGTGGATAATTTGCACGATTTTAACCGTAACGGATATTTTACCAGTTGGTCATCCAGCCAGAGCAGATAGTAAATTAAAGATTATCAATGATTCTCCATGGTTCCGATTTCCTTATCCTGGTCAATGGGGTACACCCACTGTATCTTTATCTGGTGTACTTGGCATGTTAGCTGGTGTATTGGCATGTACAGTGGAATCTATCAGTTACTATCCAACAACATCTAGAATGTGTGGTATGTAACAATTATAACATCAATATAATAAATAAATAATAAATAAAATAAATAATAAAAAATATCAAATTTTAAATTGATTATAAAATAAAAAATTTGTTAATTTAAAAAATTAAAAAAATTTTTAAATAATTAGAAGTTTTTAAATAATGATAAAATATAAAAAATTTTATTTTTAGGAGCTCCTCCTCCTCCAATTCACGCTATTAATCGAGGTATTGGTATGGAAGGCCTTGGAACAATGTTAGCTGGTCTTTGGGGAAGTGGAAATGGTACAAACACGTTTGGAGAAAATGTAGGAACTATTGGTAAGTTATATAATATTCTTGAATTGTAGTCTATATGTATTGAATAATATTTTTTTAACGTTCATAAGTATAAAAATACTTTGAGCTGGAACTTATTTAAATGATATATTATCAGGCGTTACGAAAGTTGGCAGTCGCAGAGTTATTCAATGGGCGTGTGGATTAATGATCCTTCAAGGATTGATTAGTAAATTTGGCGCTGTTTTTATCATCATTCCTGAGCCCATAGTCGGCGGAATATTTTGTATAATGTTTGGGATGATCTGCGCCTTCGGTATATCATAATATATTTTTCAAATAAAATTAATTTAAAAGGAAAATTAAAAAAGAAATTAAGAATAATATGTTTTAGGTCTTTCTGCATTACAATATGTAAATTTAAATTCTGCAAGGAATTTATATATTCTTGGATTTTCCATTTTTTTCCCACTGGTAAAATAATTATTAATAAAATATTTAGCACATTAACTTTTAAAAAATATACGATTAATAAAGAAAGAAAATAAAAATTCACAATTAATAGTTGAATAGTACTTTAAGTTAATTTTATATAAAAAGATAATTAAATTATTTCTGTAAATTTTCAGGTTTTATCAAAATGGATGATCAATCATCCAGGAGTAATACAAACTGGGAACGAAATATTCGATAGTGTAGTTACAGTATTATTTAGCACAACTATCTTAGTTGGAGGTGTTGTGGGATGTTTATTAGATAATATTATACCAGGTATAATTCATAAAAAAACTTTTCATATATAAATGTTAATGTGTTTTTACTTATAAAATAATAATATGTTTTTTTATTTATTGCTATTAATTATCTAATCGTAAGGTACACCTGAGGAACGTGGACTCATTGCTTGGTCAAATGAAATGGAATTAAATACTGCAAAAGACGAAAAAGGGGATCAAGAGCATATATCCAATACGTTTGATTTTCCATTTGGAATGGATATTTTACGAAGGTCTTTTTTCTTTTTCATAATACTTTTTTTAGAACTTCTATATTTTATTAAAACTTAAATATTTAATTGATTTTTTCAAGTTTCAATGTTTTTTTTAGATGGAAATGGACACATTACATGCCATTTTTACCGACTTACAAACCTGGAATTTATTCATGTGGTCAAAGAAAACAATAAATAATTTAATTTTATTTGATAATGAATTGCTAATTATCGTATGAATTTTACAAAGCAATAACGCGAATATTGAATGAATCACTTTACAAATGATTGAATAGAATGTAAAAGAAAATGATATTGAAATGATACAAATTAAAGAATTTTTATATAAAAAAAAAGCAATGCAGTTGATTTTATAATTTCTTATTTATAATTTTATGATTTCTATAAATAATATATTTTAAAATTAAGAAATTCTCTATTTTTTCCTAGGAAAAAATTTCTTGTAGTGGTAAACATTATTACTAAAATTGTGTGTATGGCGTGAATTAGTCAGTAAATTGTCAGTAAACTTTTTTAAATGTTACTTTTAGCAATTTGTGGAAACACAAATAAATACAAATATGGCTGCATCTTCAGACGTTGCTACGGTATTGCACACGTGTATCATATTTTTATTAATCAGATGTATATATTTTTTTGTGAAAACATAACCTATACTTAACCTAAAATTCGTTAACCGGCTTCTTTAAAGAGACTTTACAAATATTTATTTATTAAAACAATGCAATTAGTTTTGTAATTAATTAAACTGTATCATTTTTTTATAAATAAATTAATATATAAAATATTGTACATGTTTTATTTTTATGAAACTGTATTAAACAAATATATTGCACATTGTAAATAGAATAACAATAAGAGATAAGATATATTTCGATTTTTTTACGTAGAATATTAAATGAAAAATTATATTAAATGTTTTAATTTAAATTAACAATTTAATTTAATTTTATTTTATTCTACACAACTATCTAATTTAGTTCATATAATTAATATGCAGATCAGACTACAAAGATACTTAAACATGCCATTGGTGCAAAGATGCAAGGAAATAGCAATGTTAATAGATGAATCAAGCACAACAGAATTACAACATGTATTTTCAATATTAATAGATTCGTTATTTGGGATTACTGACAATATTGGTTGGGGTTTACATAGCATTACTTTTAAGAAAAATGCTCAAGAATATGAAACACTTTGTAATTTTCTTAATCCACAAGGACCTGTCTTTTCACTATGTTATAAATTATTACCAGATTGTTATTTAAAATATAACTTCCCAGTTTCATTTTTACCAGTATGTAAAAAATAGATTTGTATATTAATAAAATTAAAAAAAATTAATAAAATTTAATTCATATATTCTTTTCATTTTAGGCAAAAATACGTTTAATGTTAGAGGAAGGAGTAATACCACCATTTTATCTAGACAAAATCAGAGATGATCAAAGTACACGTTGTGTATCTGCTCTAAATATGAGTATCCTTTGATTTAATATTTTAATATTTTAATAATTCAATAATTCAATAAATTTATTTTTTTAAATTCATATAAAATAAATCCTTAACAATGATACATACCCCTTTGAATATTACATTTTCCATTTTGCATATCATTTAACAAATCCATGGTTACAAGTACAGCAGCAGGAAAATGTCTGGATTAATTGGGAAACTGTTTATGTTCAATTAGCACATTGTTACTTATATCATTTTTTACCTAGAGATAATTCCCCTGTTTTGCCAATAATTAGTCCATACATCAGGAAAACTCCTCAACGAAAACTTGTACAATCACCTGAATCTAAAAGGTATTTTTTAAATATTTAACAATGAATAAATTAATAAAAAATACAAAAATAAAATTATAATGATTTTAGAATTATTTAACAGTAAATGAAAAATTATAATTAGAAATTATTATAGAATGCAAACACCACGACTTTTGAGAACATCGATATTATCGCCAGGATCTCCGACTTCCACATCAACCGTACCGCAGCAACAATGTTTGCCACAAGTTTGGAGAAGTGAAACTGTAGTTCAAGTATTTCTTGATTTTTGGGTAGAATACATAGAAGATGATAAATTATGTTCACCTTTAAGCACATCATATCCTGCATCCGTACCGCGCCGAGTAAGTATATGTATAAAAATTTTCTTATAAAATATATTTATATATAATTGTAATTACAGCACAGTATTCATTCTGGAGAACATATACGTTTAGTTCGAGCGTTTATAAAGACTTTGCATGAATTTGCAAATAGTGCCACAGGCGACAAAAGTGCAATGGATGAACTTAAACGGTATATTAATATTAAAGAAAAAGTTAAACAATAATTAAATATTAATATCACAAGATTTTGTTAAAAATATTATTTACAGAATTATTTTGCCTTCCGTCCAAGGCAAAATCTATACATTTCTTCGAAAAGCTATACATCATTGGCCTCTAGATAGTTCCTTTAGATTAATTCTTGAAGCATGGTTAAGCTTTATTCAACCATGGAGATACTTTCCTAGTATAACATACACAAAAGAAGGGTAAGTATATAATAAAAATCTATTAATAAATTACAATTAGAAATTATTTTACTTTTTTATAGTAAATCTGAAGAAGAAGAAAGAGGAAAGATACATGATCCAAATAGATGGATGCCTTTTATTGCACATAATTTATTAGCATATTCAGCAATATTCCAACAATTACTTCCACGATTTATGAGAACAGATCTTGTAGCTCCAAAAAATGCATTAATGTTATTCAGAGTTACAAAAGTATATTAATTTTTTTCAAATATTTGACTTATATATTATTATTTAGGAATTTAAAAAAAATCATATTTATAGGTTTTTTCACAACCACATCTAGCAAAAATAATATGCGAAATAGAAAGTCATATGGATGATGTTGGACTAAGTAGAAATCGATGTGTAACTACAAATCAATGGGCTTCAATTGTACGACAACAAATTTCGGAACTAGAAGGACCAACTTATCAATATGTACCAATGTTTTCTATGTCTACTGTATCACAAGTAAATATAAAGTATATATATATATATATATATATATATATTGAGATATTTAATTATTTTTTAATTTTTTCTTAGGTCGTATGTCTATTAAGTACAATTAAACAAGCATATTTAACAGCAACTAGTTTAATCGATGCATTAGAAAAAAAACGAAAAAGTAGACGATTTTTTTTAGCATTATGGGAATTCTTTTATGGCGAGGATTATTCTTCAGATGATGTTAGTATAGAAGAAAGACGTCGTGTTCCTATTTATTTAGCAAATGCACAACAACAATTAATTGAAATCTTCGAGGTAATAAGAAATGAAAAATATTTTTAGATTTTAATAATTTGATTTGATTTTAATAAATAGAATTTTTAGATTAAAGTAGAAGACATTCCTCAGGTAGCTATTGAAGCTGATGAAGAATACCATGAAAGTATTTTATCAACATCTTTCTATCATAGTCAATCACAGGTTAATAAAAAAATTGTTTGTTTGTCAATTGTTATTAGTAGAAAAGTTCTAACTTATTAATTCTTTAGATGGACTCTAGTTTAGATACAAGTAAACCAGGTGTATTTGTACCTATTCAAAAAGATAGACAAACATGTCAATATATCGAATATATGGGTGATCCAGAATTACAACCAATTCGAAGTAACGAATGTGCATTACTTGTTAGGAATTTTTATAAACTTTGTACATATATAAACGTAAAAGTAAATATTTTTTCAATAATATATTAGAAAAATCATATTATTTTAATTTTTGACTCAAACATCTTTATAATTATAATCATGTATTTTGAATAGTATCGGCACAAGATAACTAGAATGTACCATGAAAGTGGTTTTTTCGGAAACATTTATCGACAAATATTACAACCACCAACAAAAATTGTGAAATTGCCAAAACGAACGCAAAATGGACTTTCCTGCGGATATGAGGAACGTATTCCACCTCGATTGAGTTTGCGACCACTAGCTAATTATAGCTTACTTGTACCCATAAGTCTTGGATCATTTATTACTTGGTTTACAAAGTATATTCTTAATTAATATTTTTTATTAATACTATGTTAGTTATTTTGGTAATTAATATTAAGAGCATATAATATCAATTTATTTACAGTTATGGAATCTTTATGTTTCTTGGATTTGTTTTTGTTATATGGTTCATATATATAATAATACGAGCAATATTAGAACCATGGACTCAATCGAACAGAAACACATTTAGAACGAATAATACATCATTTTCTATGAATTGATCAGCTTAAAATTGATATATTGTATAAAAATTAACATGTATTCATTAATATGTAATTCCAAATATAAATTGTATACAAATTATTTTTTGTAATATTAAATATAATTAAAAAAATATTTAAAAATATGCTTCTTTAAACATATGGAAATCATTGTTTTTTGTTTTTTCTTTTTTTAAATATAGATAATATGAAAAACATAAAAACATAATTCATTTGTAAAGATTAAGACTTAAAAATATATTCAATTTGTAAAAATTATTTAAAATTTTAAATTTTGCAGAAATTAATACAAGTAATTAAAATTTACGATATTGAAGTGATAAATAACTTTTCAAATCTAGTGGCTATGAATGCCACTAGAGTAGTTATTATTTAATCAATATCACGTACAAATAACTAATCATTTCTGTCGATCAAAGCATATGTAGCTTAGCACAAATACGACGGAGTTCGTTAACGTTGATATTGTGATTCGGAAAATTAATATTGGAGTATAACAGAAATGTTTCAGATAAAAGAAACACAAATATATATAATTAATAATTTTTCTCCATCTCATATTGATTTTTTCTTTTTTTTACAAAGATATATTTAAAAAATTATTAAAATATATTAAAAAAATTTAAGATAATTCTTTAATCAAATATGTATTTATATCATGTTAATATATAACATTATTACATATTTAATATAAAATATTGAATAAATTTTATATTAAATATATACCATATGAAAAAAACTATATATCTTTTTAATTGGATTCCACTATTCATCACAAGATCCTAACAACTTTTTATGTTCCCCTACCTGGAAACTACCTGAGTTATCATACCAAATTAACTACTACATTACATACATATAGTATGTAATATATGTAAGACGTGCTATACAATGAAGCCAATTGAATTTTATTAACCAAATAATTGTAATTCTATTGCAAGATACTAAAAAGTTTCTCAAGATATAAAAAAATTTATTAGAAAAAATCGTTAATTTTTTTTTAATTTTATTACTTGATAAGAAAATTCATATTTA